TTTTTTTTTTTTTTTTTTTTTTTTTTTTTTTTTTTTTTTTTTCTAATTGAATCCTTATCTTTTTTACATTTATTTGATTATTTATTTATTCATTTTTCTCCGGTGGTAAGACGGATCTGTAGAGGTGCTTGTTCACCTGTTCTGTTCTTGCCTTATAAGTTGAATAAAATAAAAAAATAAAAATAAAAACTATGCTACGCGTGACGTGTGTCGCCGATGGAAAGGCGTAGTCTTTTCAAATAAAGTATTATTATTATTATTATTATTATTATTATTATTATTATTATTAGCCATCACCATTATGTTCATCATTATTAAGTCAATTGTTGCCCCTAAGCCCGGAATGCAAATAATCAATATTTCAGACACGTCCCTGTCCTTCCTCAGCGTTAGTCGTGCATCATAATCGTCATCAAATTTATCACCATGAGCACTACCGCCACCTCCACCAAAACCACCATCATTATCATCATCATCATCAACATCGTCATCGTCATCGTCATCATCATCGTCATCATCATCGTCATCATCATCACCATCATTATTATCATCATCATCGTCATCATCATCGTCATCATCATCGACATCATCATCATCATTATCATCATCATCATCATCATCATGGTCGTCTTCGTCAACATCACTATCATAATATTTTAAGTTCTATTGTATGTACTGTATACCTATAACTTGATAGGATGCCGTAACACTGTATGACGTATGCTAATAATCGACTGCATGGGTATCATTTATTATAGCGAGGACATTTTGAAAGCTGATATGTTATGTTATCTTACTTAAATAATCTTCGCAACTTAAACAATATTTTTCTCCATTTAGCTTAACATGAGCTGACACAAGAAATTAATATAGCGCCCTCAATGTTTCATATCTGCGCTGATATTTACCTAAAATCCTGTTGATAACACAACATAAATTAGTTTATTTGACTGGTTATACGCATTAGCAAAGTTCCATAAACAAAGTCGACTATCCTTAAACTGGGGAAAATACTCAACTAAACAAAATGTCTTTGTACGTAGGTAGGCAAACCATGATTAAAGTTTGCGTATACAGGTCGCCTCGACCTGCTGTAAATGGATTTTACCATCTAAAAATATTTTCATTTAATTTTAATTCTGTTAATCGTCGATTTTAAATATTAATTGATGCATTTTTATTAAGAGAAATTGCTTTTTTGACTGATTACTCATATTTTCACGCTTACTTTAACTTACATCTTAATAATCTACCGTACACCACGTTAAGTGAATGGTCAATTAATCAAGAAAAAAAGAAATATTGTACCAGTCGAATTGAGCTATTGCCATCTGTTTGACGTTAGAGAAATCAGTCAATGGCCGTGCACTTTTATAGTGCATATAATGTTCATCTGTTTCCAGGACAACATAGAAAAAAAATCCGCCAAAATAAATGGTTGAAACGGAAAAGAAAGTGGTAGAAAAGAAAAACAAAACAGAAATAAAGGGAAAGTAAAGAAACAAAACAGGAGAGTAGAGTTAAATTAGGGATTTTCAAATAAGAATTACATAAGACAGGGCGTAAAACTTAAGTGGTTGGCGCATCGGTTGTGTCTTAGACTCCCAAACTCGAGAGGTCTGGGTTCAAAACTCTCGCTGTGCAAATCGCTCGTGTCCTTAGGCAGGACACTTTATCTACGGCTGCCTCTCTTCACCCAGGAGTACAAGTGTGTACCTGGTAGGTTCCAACACACCTGCGCTGATTACTACCTACAATATTATGGAATAATAATATTAATTTAATTTAATAATTTAATTTTGTCCTGAGTATGTGTTCAACATGTGTTTGATCCAATGACCGGGGTAGTAATTTGAAGCGCTTAGAGGCTTTGCGCATGAAGCGCTATATAAGACCGACATATTATTATTATTATTATTATTATTATTATTATTATTATTATTATTATTATTATTATTATTATTATTATTATTAATTAGAAGACTCTCGAACAGATTGTAGTAATGAATTAACTGCAGAGCTTGGTGCAAACAACTAAAAAGGGCAACTCTTCATAAGTCTTCAGATGACAAGTAGGCTTAAGAAGGGTTATAGATGTAGTGGACCTTAATGTCATTATACATTTAGTTGAACGTAGTGTGATAAGTTCCATGATAATAAGGAGTGGGAAATAGTTATATTAGTGAGAACAAATCAATAAGTTGAACGTAGTGTGATAAGTTCCGAGATAATAGGAAGTGGAAAATAGTTATATTAGTCAGAGCAAATTAAGAAGTTGAACGTAGTGTGATAAGTTCCAAGATAATAGGGAGTGGAAAATAGTTATATTAGTGAGAGCAAATCAGTAAATCTAGACATGAAATGTACTTCAATAAAAAGCACCTTTTTATTAAATTAATATCCAAATTATTGAAATTTAACGAAATTCTCATCAAAATTATAACACTTTTAGGTTAAAAATATATAAATAATCTTTTCGCCTACGTCTACGTTCTAGTGCACAAAATATAGAAATCAAGTAAAACTTTATTAATATAATATACATAATTCTCGTGTGATTTCTCTTCAATGTATTACAGTTTCAACAATTTCAAACGTTCTATATAATTTAAGAAATTTGATTCTTGAGATTCGTAATTACTCTCAAATGTCACTGTTTCAATAATACGCATGAGTACGTCAGAAATAAACACCATTGGTTCACGTTTATCTAGAAATTACAGTTTCCATAACAAAATACGTTTGAATATAAATACATATGAACTCTTGACCGACAAAGTTTTTACTTCTGCAAGGTCCGTCCTAATAGGATTCTCCTGTAATTAAAACATGTCTTATAAACATATCCAGAAGACAATTATAAATTATTTTAACATCTTTAATATTATTACTATAAATGTTTTTGGAACATTTATGTAAGGGAAGATTCATATTACTATGCTAAAAAACATCCTATTTTTCTACTTGTAGGCCTATAGTATACCTACTCATTCCAGTTCATTAAAAACTCTCGATAAATTACAAAACATTACATGTCGATACTGAAGATCTTAAAATGTTTAAGTAAACATATGATCTTTAATGTAAAATATTGTCACACTCTTTTTAAATTTTTATTTCAATTATGTTTAAAACCATATTTAATATAATATAATATTCCGTAATTTTTACACAATATTATTGCAGTACAGTATAGTATTTTGCTAATAGTGTGCATTCCATGAAAACGCAAATGTAGCATAAGTGATGCGTTAAACCCCGGGGCTTTATTTTGTTCATAAAAATTCCATCCGAGTTAAATTACTTTACATCTCTCAGATTGGAAAATGAAATATAGAGATATGTATAATTTTGAAATAAATAAATACAAAGAATAATATTTATTATAAATTAAAAACTAAATTCTAAGATTATTTTTAGATTGAATTTAAAGCATTAATCAGGCAATAATATAAATCCACACTCTAAAAATTTTGATTGAACACTAAAGTGGTCAGCATTTTTTTTAACCTGAAGTTTATTTATTGTTTTGTAAAGTTGCTCGACAATACATTAAATTAAATAGGTTTATAATGTAGATACTTTTATAGGAAACCAACAATCTTACTGATTTCTTTCTTCTGGTTTGTCTTAAGATAATGCAGAATAAAATGCTGAACATTAAGTCTGTTTGCTCGACAATCAGTTAAAATTATTGAATAGGTTTACAATGTAAACAATTTTAAGGGAAACCAACAATTACATTTACTGATATAGAAAGATAATTTTGTGTTATAAAACAAGTTTCACTTCGGAAGTCCTTTGAAATTTTAGCTTAAATAGATAATAACAACTTAAATATTGAATTAAAATCAATTTTAATATTTACCAAACGTGATGGACAAACAATCTTGTACATTTCATTTAGTACAGATTAATTGTGGCAACATAATAAATACATGAATATGAACTGTAGAAACATGAAAAATATCATAGAACGTATATTACTATTGGTAACCAAATTTATGTAGTAATTTATCGTATTTGAATGTGTCATTTTTTTTTTCACAATGGAAGAACATACACAAATTATTGTGTCGCTAAGTTAGACATTAGAAGTCTTCTGCATTGGTGCTTTAGCATAGACGAATACATCTCTATGTAATCCCAGTTAATAGCTTCATGACTCACCAACGAATGTTGAGTATTTACATTTTTTTTCCGGGTAACATTCTAGATATCAGACATATTTAACATCTGTTTTTCTTGAAATACTAATTTTTCTTGAAACATTTAATGTGGTCATTCAGCCTTTGTGCTGAGCACCCATTTACTGTGTGGTCTACAGTTAGATATTGTAAAATCTGACAGCATATTAGATTGATTGCAGAGTAGTAACTGCAACATTAAACTCTTCAATAATTGTCACCCACATTATGTGTGATGTTACATTAGCTGTTGATTGACGATATAAACATTAATCACGAATGATGACATAATGGATTTTAAGAATGTGCATACCCAGTATAAGTGTTTATTGTCGTTGAATTGGCGCAGCTTATACGATCATTCATTTCACTTTGGACTTACGGTGTATTCAGAATTTGTTATAATTTTCATATACTTACGTCATAAAACTAGATAACAGATCAATGATTATAGTTTATTCAAATCTGAAATATATTAAATAGAACTATTTTTATTTAAATTAAATAATTTAATTAGTTAAAAATGTTTCTATTTTCTTTCTTTATCAATTCATAATGATGAGTCCGTACGTAATTATTATTTACATTTTACTCCCGACCACACCAAATAATTATTATGAAATCATCATACAGTAGGTTTAAGGTGTGGGTGTTAAAGGCCTATAATAAGACAATAAGGAGCTTTTTTGCTTTTGCACGACAACGCGATGCTAAAAAGAATTCACGTTCTCGATGATTCGACCAAACTGCATCCCAGAATCCAAGCGACGGGAAGAACTTAACATTCTCGCATGTGCAGATCATTTTTAATAACATCATTACCTTCTAGTCCTACCGCGTCATGCAGGATTGGAATGTTTCTAATAAATGGAAATCATGTAGGTGAATGTAAAGGTTTCTTATCTCTGTAATCGTTATCTATGAAGTTTTACTGTCCTTCAATAGCGAATGTTTCAACCTCAGTTTTTTCCAACCAATCTCTAACAAATTGATTCCTTCGTTGTCTGTCTTCCACAAGTTGTTCCGTGCTCCCAGACACAAAGGTCGAATTGAAAGCCTGATTATAAAGTTCATCGTAAGACTCAGCATTTGCCGATAATAAACTGACCCTGCTGCTTCGTAAAGTCCCGGGTGTTGATGGGTGAGAATTTAAAGATACATTGCTTGTGCAATTACTTTTTAGTAAGTTTCTGCCCCAAGATTTCTCAAAGGCTTTCGTAAGGTCATTGCACGATTTACTTTGGTCTCTTTCAGTTGATCGCATATTTGCTACGTCGGGACTTGTCAGACGTTTTTGGTCTGATCTCCCTGTTAAAAGATTACAGCAAGAATTGTGAAGTGAAAGGCGATCACTCTCTTTAAGTAACAACATTGAGTGAGCTTTACTCTTTCTGCTTTCTTTCAAAAATGCTTCAGAGTTAATATCTTGGTTGCTTTTACATTTCGTCATGTGTAAAGTTGCTGGTATACCAAGACTATGGTCAACAGTTTCCAGCCAATCAAATTCTTCGTTAGGTCCACTAGCGCCCTCAACAGACGTTCTATGTTTTCTGCGAATTCTTGGGGAACAGTATACATCGATTCCTTCATGTTGAAGTCCTGATATAGTATCCTGATCGGTTGAAACCTTATAAGATTCATTTTGTAAATCGCTACTTCCATCAACTGGTTCAGATATTCCGGGAACGGTACGGTTACTAACTGCGTCCATCTCAATATAACGGCTTATAACTTCAGGCCTAAAAAACGGGAAAATCATGGATTAATGTAAAAAATAAAATACAGCATACAGTATAATGCAGTTAATAAGAACAATACCTAGACATAACTCTTACTCAATGATATTCTGCAGGATATTTTAGAAAGGTAATTCTCCAGCATCAATACGCAAGGTAATAAACTCTGGCTAGACCGTTCCAGATAATGTCACCCACGAGGATATTTTCCTATCTTGAAAGTTCAAAATTCTGAACAATACAAATACTGAAAATTATTTCTGTAATTCAAATCTGTTGGTAGTATATTTAATTAAAAACTGTATGCACGAATACCTTTGTAAGGCGATTACAGTACTTAATAATTATCATCTTTATCTTGACTCCAGGGGTGCTGTACTACTTCACTGTAATGAATGACCCCCTCATTACAAGTAATAAATACTAAATTATCTGAAAATAGCAATGACTTGAAAAATTTCACATTTATGGCTTATATTTTATAGCCCTATATTTAATAGCTCTTCTATTCAATACTGGCCGTTTTGCATGATATTCATGGCATAATGGTTAAAACACAAGTTTAAAGGGCAAATGGGAAAAAACCCATAAAACAACAAACGGCGATATAATGCAAAACAATTTAAAATTAAAATTAAAACGAAAAATCCGATCAGAATGACAAAATAAACTAAGCATCCACTGAAAGGAATCCCAATATCTGCAGACGGATCCGTTTTGGCCTTCTATGCCTCATCAGTATACAGAAACTATTTAATTAGAATATTCAAAACTAATTTGGAACTAGAATTTTTTGGGATTAAATTCGGAATAATTCTTCAAAATTTGCATACACGCGGAATACGATTACGTTGGGTGGAAATCGGGTGTTTTATTCAGCGGAAGAGATCTGTATGTATGCGTTTTGTGTGCATTTTAAGCAGTCTGTGTACGCCAGCTACCGTACTTAATGAATAAAGTCAAAATAGGTCGCTTCATACACAATTACGTGCTGTTAGAGATGCAGTAGGCCTAGATTATTTTTAATTGGCTCCATTTAATGGTTCTTCTTTATAGCAATGTTCCGGAGGAAAAACAAATATTAAGCTGTACAACTGATTGTTTTAAAACACAAAATATGTTTGAAAAAAGGTTCTGAAACGGTTAATATAGTTTATAGCTTTATAATAGTATGATGATTTTTGTGGCTTCATTTTTATGCAACTACATGCATTCTCCCACATATCATGTTAATGTACATTGTGATTTTTTAATGGTCAGTGCTGCGATTTTTTTCGTTTTCTAATTACTTTAGAGTTTGGTGGATGGATTGCATTGTGGTTCTTCTTTGTAATAATAAAAAAAAAGTACACATCGTTTAAGGAACTCCTCCGTTTTTTAAAGTTGTCAGTTTATTTATCCTCAGTTTTAACAAATATTATATTCACTGATAGTTTTTTTTTTTTATCAATTGTCTTATAACTATATGACATCTATATTATGTATAATGTTTTATTTTTCTTCGTGTTTGAAGATAATAAACCTAACCAGACTAGTATTTATCATTTTTTTTTATAGGCAACCACTTAGAGGCAACCACATTCACATCCAACTGCTTATTTAAACTATAGTAAATCCTAAGTAACCTAATGTGACATCCCCTTTAAATTCCCTGAATTTCATTACGATTCGTAGCAGCTTAGATTTATTGCTTCGATTTAGTCACATGGCCCTTTAGAAGACGGATGTTTCAAGAACATTAATGGATGCCTCGTATCAAGCAGAGCAAACGCATGAAATTCAAGAAGAACATTGATCATAGGCGAGAGTCATGTGTTCGTAAGTAAAGACGATGCGTGTGATATTTGGTACCAACATGCTTTGAATAAAATTACACAATATCATTATCCCCGTCAGCACCATCGTCATTCATATCATCATCAAAATCTTTGTACGCTCCAGTCACGGTCAGTATGACAGTCAACGTTACTTAACGTCATCGTCATCATTATCATCGTAATCATTATCATCGCCATTATTCACCTTTATCATAATTCTTCTTATCAACATCATCATTACCATTATCAAAATTATCATTATCCTCCATCATTACCATCACCACATCAACATCATTATTATCATCATCATCGTCATCATCATCACCATTATCATCATCATTATCATCATTATCTTCATCATCATCACTATTAACAACAACATTATCATCATCATCGTCGTCGATAATAAAGTAGCTCTAACACGATCGTTATTTTCGCACAGGTACGATACAGTCTAAAGATGTGAATGTTAATTATGTGAATTCTGTTACGCGCAAATCAGTAGCCAATAACCAATTACTGATGGTCAGGTTGTTTATAGCATGCACTAGAGTCATCATTCTGTAGAACCAGGGAGCAGTCATATTACAGTAATATGACTGTTCCCTGATTTAACGATGTACGCGGGCTCGAAATGGATTATGACGTTACTTCGTGGTAGAGCAAATTTAAAGGGTTGCTGACTGGTGATTGATGATGCGCGCGTTTACCAATCGATAATATTTCACCAATTTATTTCCTAACATCCGGGAGTTTAAAGAGGAAAGCGGTGACTTTATGTAAATTGAGCAGAATAGAGCAACTGAGTTAGCATATCGCCATCTAATAATAATATGAAGCTGGGATTAAAAGCTCTTTGTCATCGTCTGTGTGTATGACATATGATACTCACAGCAGAATTTGGCGCCATCTTCTCTTGGCAATGAGTAAATAATCATCATTTCAATCTACTTTCTCTCTCCGGGATCTTCTTCTAAATATTCTAACACAAATTTGCATTCAAGTTGCAGATTTTAAATGTTCATACTGGTGTTACACCTTAACTGAGTTTTCTTTACAGGGATGATATTCAAAATTCTAGAGAGTAATTATTATTCATTATTTGAAGTTATAATTAAAGGCATAATATGATTATATAGATAGTCATATTAAAAACAATATCTGAACATGTACAAATGGTGGACGAGCTTCTCGGAGTCTATGGCAAAGTAGATTGTATATAGCTTGTATTAGATGAGAAGCAAAAACATGAACGAAAAATATAAACACGAAAGAATATGAACATGGTGCAGGAAAGTTGTTCTGTTTGAACCTTGGCCTAGGCTGTCGTAATTTAGGTATAAAATAGGTCTTTTTTCCTTTAATAAAACGTATATTATAATAATAAAGATACTTATCATCATCATCATTATCGTCGTCATTATTATTATTATTATTATTATTATTATTATTATTATTATTATTATTATTATTAATATTATTATTATAAATCATTAATAAAATTGTATTATTATTATTTTCATTATTGTTATTATTATTATTATTATTATTATTATTATTATTATTATTATTAATTGTATTAGTATTAGTACTAGTATTTGTATTAGTATTCGTAATAATGTTTGATCCGGTTAGTAATAAAAGTGGAATGGTCTTCGGCTTTTTTTTTTTGTTGATTAAAAACGATTTTAAAGTCCATTATTATTATTATTATTATTATTATTATTATTATTTTATTATTATTATTATTAATATTTTTAATATTATTATTATTATTATTATTAATTTTATTAGTATTAGTATTAGTACTAATATTAGTATTCGTATTAATGTTGGAACAATTTTGATCTGGTTGTTAATAAAAATATAATGGTCTTCCGTCTTTTTTTTTTTATTAAAAACAATTTTAAAATCCATTATTTATTATTATTATTATTATTATTATTTGTATAGGTTTATTTTTTATTTTTATTTATTATTTTTTTTTTTTTTGCCCTACCTGACGTGGAAATGTACCCAATACTCAGTACATTTGAAAACAACTGCGAACAAATCGCAAGTTGTTCTCGGGTGGGACTCGAACACGCGATCTCCAGATGACTAGCCTGGCATCATAACTCTAGACCACAGAGCTTGAGCCTGGTGGCCAGGGTTGAATTCGAGTCGAAGTAAGCAGCGGGTACTGCATTGTTGATAGTAAAAAAATCGCAAGTTTTTCTCGGGTGGAACTCGAACCCAGGATCTCCAGATCGTGGCTCAAATTTTAGTACCAAACAATGCATTGGAAGTATAGTATGTTAGATATTTTTATATGTATGGTATTAATATATTATGCATTGCTATTATGAAATGATTTTCCCAGACAAAATATCCATATTGGACCAATTGGAATTCTTGGTGAAGTATTCGCACCGCGTGAAAAATGCATTCGGAACAGAGAATTCGAATCAACACGGCCCATAGTCAACTTGGCCTTAATTTTCAGTGTATTCACGAAACAATAATAACACAAAAATATACATGCATATTATATATATAATATATATATATGTATATATATATA